GCATTTTGAAGTTATTAGGGAAGTATCTGAAAGACAAAATTCATGTAGTTAGAAACAAATACAATAAACTTTCACATTTTAAGAAAGACAAATATACATAATGAGTACATTTTTCTTCTGAGTGGCACATAGTTAATTGGTAAATTTGCAAAATCAAAATTAAAGATCTTTATTTGATGGATTTTCATGTTCTAAATATATAAGGAAGATGAGGCTATTTATATTTTGTTCTGGGATACAAGAAAATTGTTTTCTCACTTGAGCCTTATCATAACATGAGGTGCATCCTTAAATTAATTAATAAAGCAGTAAAACTAACCCATATCATATTTAAGTTATATGTTTCTTCATTTATTTTTCAATGTGGGATTTTCCGCTTTAACTAGGAAGGTTTGACACGTGAACAGCTTCATATGCCCTCAAAAGCACACAAGCCCACTGGGCTCGTTAGAGCAGAGCTTCATATGCCCCCATACAGAGAAGACAGAGCCTAGACGTGAAAAATAGGAGTAGCTCAGATCACATTTAAGCCACATGTTTCTTCTCTTATTTTTCGTTGTGGGATAGTCGGCCTCACTGCACCAGTGGCCTAACATTAATTATCTCATCGTGAAGGTAGGTCAATATTCGAATTCGTCTTCCATAGAGAATTGAAGAGGACAGAGAAGAATCTAGAGTGCATAGAGAATTTGATAGATTAATGGAAGAAAATATTTCTTCTTATTCATGAATAACCCAAAAGGATTACGGCGACACTCCTTTATTGTAGAAAGCTAGATAAAATCAATTGCAGCTTAATCGTACTCTTACTAATACCTACCATTGAGGACCAAAGCTTACATCCTTCATTAACATTGATCGTTTTTCCAAAAGGGAAAAAAAAAATAAATAAATAAAGGAAAGGGAGTACGTACATATAATTTAGAAAGCAATAGTAATTTTATGCGTAAAAACAATTAGGAAGCGAATAGGAAGTTTTGACCAATTCTATTGTGCAGGGTATGACACGAAATAGATATTTGAATTTAAATTCATATATTGGCCGGTCACTAATTTACCTGCATGCAAAAGTTAGTTAAACGTTGGACTTAATCCTGAGCTCAAATATAAGTGCATACAACTGAAATTAAGTGGTATATTAGATAAAATGTTATTTTTAGTTTATAAACTTTTAGTTTTGAACATTTTTTTAATCCTTGAATTATTTTTTATATTTTTTTCATCCACAGAGTACTAAAAATGCACTTTTTTTAGTCATTTCATTAATTTGTTAAATCTGTCCATATATGTTTATTTTTAATCTCTAAATTTATAAATTCAAAAACTAAAAATGTACTTATATTATAAGTTTAGAAACTAAAGATATGTATATATAGACAAATTTAACAGGTTAACAAACAAAATGACTAAAAATTGCATTTTTCATACTAAAAGGATGAAAAGTTTGCAAAAAATAGTTTAGGAACAACAAATGTTTAAATTGAAAGTTCAAGGACTATAAATGGCACTTAACCGCTATTTTAAGACTAGTTGGAAATGTTATGATGAAAATGATACTTAGAGTTCGAGTGATGTTTGGACTCAGTTATGCACGCAAGTAATGTAATTGATCTACACACATGTGATATTTGCTATTGCTGCAGTTTAAAGAAATGGAATTTGGGAC